ATTTCCATTTTTGGAGTTAGAGAAGGATCTACAAGGCCAATAAAAAGTTGTGGGACTAGGTGTCTTGCACTATACAACTGACAAAATCTAAGATCCTTCCGGGTGTTCCAACTAAAATGCCAACAAATCCATTACATAAACTTTTTACATCATGATAATTGTGTATACATAGACATTTTAAACTAGTATTAATTGTTAATGTTTCAAACTCGGATACAATTTGTTTTGCCAAGTTTCTCGTCGGTGTCATGATTATGGCTCCTGTATTAAAAAACTTATTTTCTGGCAAAGATGTGGAACAAAGTAAAATCTCAATAATTGGTAATGCAAGTGCCATTATTTCATCAGTACTACTGGTCTAAAGCAAACAAACAAAATAAAAATAAATAAAAAACCAAATTATCCATTTATAAGTGAAGAAATAAATTTGATTACTTTTGCTCTAATTAAGACATCTTTCCCGTCATGTATAGGTTTGTAACATGCTGCTTGGAAAGGAGATAATGATTCGATTACTTGTTGTTTTAATGAATCAAGTTCTTTGCTAAAAATAAGGAAAAGATATTAATCACCACCATAATTTTTTATATAACTAGAGTGACGACAAGTGGCGGGCGATAACCACCACCACCATCCTTAAAACACTTACCCTTTTTTTTCCTCGATATGTTCTTCTTTTCTTTTTCTTTTAATTTTGCTTATATCTTTGGGCATTTTTTATTCTGAAAAAGTTTATTTTTTGACAGAGTCCAAGGTGACAAAACGTGAACGTTGTTGTTTGGTTTGGTTTTGGTCTCCTAAAGAAGAAGTGTTAATAACTAACCAGAGGTACTATTTTTTACTTGTATTGATATGTATGAGGTGTCTTTTATTTTATTATAAATATTTTAATTGGAAATCAAAACGCGGAGCAGATCTTGCTGGGTAATTACAAGATTTTCATTGATAATATTTGGCTTTTCGTAATCTTTAATAATAATATTATTATAAATATTATAATCACAAGATGTCAAGGCAGCACACCATTGAATATGAAACATTTTGAGTATGCGAAGTTTGATTATCGGAAATTTACAGGCGTTGAAGCATGCACGCTACCTTGAACACTTACAGTCATTCTCACGCCTTCCTCGTGTACAAAAGGCTAATCTGACTTGCGACCTTCAATGATATAATGATGCAACTGAATTCCAGGGGGAGGAATGCTTGCCCTGGAATTTACCGAGTCTGCATCAATCGTCAATGACGCTTTCACTAATCTTCACAGACCAGAGATGGCCGCTGGCATGCTAGACGAAAGTTACCTGCAACGATCCACCTCTAGGGCAAGGATGGCTCTGTGACCAAGTTGCAACTCTGCTGAGGAATATTAAGTGAATCTGCAACTCATTCCAAGCTCAGGAGGTCACAATCCAGAGCAGGGTTTGTGGCCCTGAAATTGCTTTTGGATTCTGATGTTAAGAGGAAAGTTATAAAATAGTGTTTGTTTTGTATAATCACTTTCATAAATTCTCTGTTTTTTTGATGCTAACCAATTTATAATTTTGGGTAAGGGGACTGGATTGGGTTTTTGCCCAATCAGTCCCTGTTGTATAGATTAAAATTATCACACGATTATATACTTCTTTGTCAGCAATATGGTCAACAAGAAAAAAGTCATAAAATGGTTCAGATTTTGGTATGTTATAAATTAAACATTTTCCCAAATTTTCTGCTTCTCTTTAATTTTTATCTGACCAACTGAATTTTAATGATGTTAGCCGTTTAAAAATCCTTAGCCGGCTAAGCCATTTATTATCTAATTGGTAATTTTATTTCTATAACCAGAAGGTAATGCAGAAATCTATTACCAAATTTAAATTAAACATTTTCCCAAATTTTCTGCTTCTCTTTAATTTTTATCTGACCAACTGAATTTTAATGATGTTAGCCGTTTAAAAATCCTTAGCTGGCTAAGCCATTTATTACCTAAATTGGTAATTTTATTTCTATAACCAGAAGGTAACGCGGAAATCTATTTACCAAATTTAGAAATTGTGTATGCAGATTATTAGTCGGCTAACATCACTACTGAATTTGTAAATGGGGGTACAGTGCGGATCATCTATACTCAAAAGTTAAAAATTTTGAAATATTATGTGATCCACACATTGGATTTTAAAAAACTTACCACCA